CCAAGAAAGGAGAAAAGATACTTCTGATCACAATAACATTTTCTTTTTTTGAGGATCACTCTGACCTATAAGGCACCCTGAAGGCACATCATTTTCTATACCTATTTATCTTCTTTATACATCTCCCCTTGCAACTAGACAGTTCCATAAAGTTAGGGCCTTTAATATATGAGGCTGCAGGATTTCCATTTCAATACTGGCCAGAGATGCATCCTCTCCAATCCTAACCATCATCCACTTAGCCCCAGTGAGGGCTTGTGCAAAGGTAAGGATCTCTAAAATGTTGGTGCTGGTGGATATTTTACGTACTGATTGCTTGGGTGGCAAAGGAATGCAATGTGTACAGTCTAATCTGCTGTCCTTCAAACATACAGCCTTCATCCATTTGCCCACTTGGAAGTTTGCTAACAGGACGATCAGACTGACATTTTCATCAAATACTTAAAAGATGAAATTTCGACTAAGGAGGGCAAAGAGGGTGTGGGAGGCAGGCAGCAGGTTTAGGGAGAGGTAGAATCCTAGTAAGAGGGGCAGATTGTGGAGGAGGGAGGCTGGCAGGCAAGAGAAGGCACACAGGCCTGGGAGGAGACTTAATGGCAGGCTTCAAAACTTACTGATATTCCAGTTCTACAGGAGATCCTGCTGTACATCCCTAGTTAAATCATCCCCAAAGTGCAACCCTGCTGCATTTATGTTTTGAATACAGTACCAATTCCTCAGTAGGCAGCTCATCTTAGGTCACGTCCCTGCTCCCACTCTAGGGCTCTCGCTCTCAGGCCAATAAGCAGGAATTGTGCATGCTCTTCCCTGTTTCTGGAAAGTACACTCCCTCCTCAAGTAAACTGTTCATGACTTGATTCAGTCTTCCTGGATCAATCTGGGAAGGTTAAGAGAGTCTATAGCCTTCTTCAGAAGGATAAAGCTCTTAGATCACTCAATGTCACTGCCGGCCTGCCTCTCTCAGAAGACGTAGAGACAGTATTTTCATGAGGACAGGTAATGAGTAGTCATTTTCATATTTGTCAATGTCTAGCACACAAGAGGTCCTCAACCAATACCTATACAATGAAGCTATAGAGGGGGAGTAGCTTGTTACGGTGGTGAGCACGGCAGTTGCCAGTCCAGGGAATAGGGAGATCTCCCAGCTGCTCTTGCTTCCTTTCATCTGTACCCCAGCTTCCAACTCTTCTCTTCCTTATTGTCAGTATAGTTCAATAGGCTGTTGCAAAGAATTTTCTCTTCACTGGCTTCTCCAAAGCAATCAATGTGTGGCAGTTCAAAGATTAAATGGTTTGGAGATAACATAGAAGAAAGGAAGCTTCTTTTGCCATCTGTTTTTCAGAAAAGTTCTTTCTAACCATACTATCCCCAAAGATAAAAACCCAGATGATTGTAATTCCAGCTCCTTGGGAGGCTAAGGCAGGAGGATTACAAGTTTGAAATCAGCATGAGCAATTTATCAAGTCTGGTCTCAAAATAAAATTTAGAAAGGCCTGGGGGTGTAGCTCAGTGGTACAGCACCTGCCTAGCATGTGTGAGGCCCTGAGTTCAATCCCCCATATGAAAAAACAAAACAAAACAAATCCATGAGATATAACTTCTGTAGAAAAGACAAATTATACCATTTTATCTTGAATAATTATCTGTCTATGCCCTCTGTCCCCAATCCTAGACATTCCCATGGAACTCTTCTAATGGCTGATGTACTGTCTGGTTCTGTTTTTGTGGACTGTTGATTCTTAGTGTGATCCCTAGACCAGAGACATCATTTTCACCTGGGAACCTGTTGGAAATAAAAATTCTCAGAACCCCACCCAAGACATACTGAATCAGAAACCCCAGGAGCAGGGCCCAGGAATCTGTGTTTGTAGTAGCACTCCAGTGCACTGAAGTTTGGGAAATTTGTTTCTGATTTAGCAAGACCACAGGTACAATCTTATATAAGACCCCATTATTTAAAGTGCATACTCATGCAAGGCAGATGGAACACAGATTCAGAAGGATATCAATCTTCCTTTTTAGGTAGTACTGTCTGAGGGAAATTTCTGCAATGATAGAAGTGTTCTGCTGAGTTGCCCATATGGTACTGACCACCACATGTGGCTATGAGCATTTGAAATATGGGACTGAAGAACTGAATTTTTAAGTCAATTCGGATTAAATTTAAAAAGCCACCAGAGCTCATGGCCACTATCTAGATAGGATAGTTCTAGAAGATCACACTCCTAGTAATCTATTTTCTCCAGCCATGACCTATCTCCAGTAGTACTTTCAAATTATTAATCCATCAAATGGATTAATCCACTAATGAAGTCAGGGCCTTCATGAGTTAATCACTTTACCTTTGAACACTACTGTGTTGCCTAACATATGAGGTTTTGAGGGGACAGTTTAGGTCCAAGCTATAATAAAAGATTTCATTTTTCAAGACAATCATGTATTTTTCAATCTGATACCTAAAAAGGTATGGCCTGGCTCTTAGCTATCCATCATCACCAAGTTTGCATAAAAACGATTGATTGGGTTATAGAAGGGCTGTTGTTTGAGAAATCATTTTAAATATGACTATTAGCAGTTTAGTCAAAACCAGACTCTCAATAAAAAAGGTTCCTACCTGCAATGTGGACTCCTAAGCTATGAATTTTGATTTTACCTTTCTGGCCTTTGGGGAGGCAACTAAAAGCCTTTATTTGCTGAGACTCAAACTCTTCTTGAGGAAATTGTGGAAGGTGTGAAAAGGGTCCCTTATCCTTCAGTGAGGACTCTTCACGAGGACCCTGTACAACAGTGGTGATCAAGTTTTCCATGGTTCTGAATTTGACTGCCTTCCTCAGTCTCCCACGATACCCCTTCCTAGGCTGTGACCCTTCAAGGCTGGCTCTGGCTCTAGCCTTGTCTGGGACTTTCCATACAGAAAGGTAGTTTTTGGTGCCTGTTTTGAAGAAACTGAACAGTTTCCAGGTGCTCCTGGCAGGGCACAGGGGTACCTCCCAGTAGGGTCACAAATACTGATATGTGGCTACTCCTCCCACGGGAAGGGGAGAAACCAGAGGATGCAGACTCCAGGGAGTTATTCACTTTCTATGGTCTCCACTACAAAGTCTTAGAGAGGGATCAGAGGGTGAGGATGGTGGAGTTAGCGGGGATAGGGAATTTGGTTCAAGTCATGGTTGGTGCTCCAAGTAGAAATGAGGAGAGGACTCTGAGCAGGAGTAGGAGGGCTGGTAGTAAGTGGGAGTGCTCTTTGAATGTAAATGCTGACCCAAGGTGAAAATTCATATACTGTCTAGTCCAGGAAAACCAGACCCATGCTTTCCCCTCACCCAAGAAAGATGCCCTGAGGGACCCAGTGCTCTTCCCCACCAGCCTGGAGGCATCTCACAGTATTTAAAACCACAGTGAAGAAACAATGTTGAATTGCTCAGTTTGAAACCAAATAAGATCTCATGACCTTTTCTCTGTGTTAACTCACCTGCTGTATGAAGGAGGACAACTGAATAATAACAGCAGCAGTGGCTACCATGATTATGCCCTTCCTGGCCTTTACATTGAATAATCACTAAGGACTGCTTGTGTCCTCTGGACAGCATGTGCTGGGAACTCAATCCCCAGTGCCACCTGACTGAAAGATGGGCCATCAGGGGTTTTGGCCTGGAGGGCTCCACACTCACACTTACAAATGGATCAATGCCGATTATAGAAAGCCTTGGGCCTGTGGGTCTGATCTCCTGTCAGTGAGTGCTCTTTCTATCTCTGTCCTGCTCTTCCACCACAGAAGGCTTGCATGGATGTCCTCATTTCATCCTCAACAACTCTGAGGAGAGATCATCATTAGCCCCATGTGGGAGAAGAGGAGACTGTCGCAGAAGCAGCCAAGCTCAGTTCCAAAGGTCACCCGGCTAATGAGGAGAGAGTCAGGTTCCACCCTCAGGTGGCCCAATGGTAGCACCCCTGCTCTTAAGCACCCTGTTGTTATTGCTTCCCTCATGGAGGAGACTCTGGGTTAGGGTTTATCACAGGGCAAACAAGCACCTATGTTTTAGAATATTACATCTTTAGATTCATTAAAACCCACCATTTACAGGATATTAAAACTGTTCTAAGAAACAATCACGGTAAAGGTGTAATCACATTTGTAAGCTTGCCAAATCGGAGTGTACGAACTTTTATGAAAAGTTTCAGAAATGTGGCTTACAAGGGTAACGGTTTATGGTCAGCCGCCTTTTGATCTCTCATGTGAAAAATATGTACTTACATATACGGCAGGAAACCTCACCACTTCCTTCCTAAGTGTTGGTCAAAAACACTAATTACTTGACTAATTAGACTGCGAAACTTCCCTTACAGATGGTAAAAATGAGCTATTTTCACCCCACAAATTTCGCTGTGACATACTACCAAAAAAAAAATGTAAAAATGTTTCAATGGTTTTATTGTACACAGCATGAACAATTTAGGCAAATCATATAAAAATAATTTGTTCTTTCAAAAGAGGGGATAATAAATAACCCTGTTCTACAGAAATGAAGGAGGCTTGACACCCCTGACAGGGAACCAGAAGCCAGTCCCATATACACCTTCTCTGTAGACTGGGCCATTCTGAACAGATCAGCTAGTTCTGAGTTGGTTTGAGATTTTTTATCATAATTTTCAGAGATTTTCTTTTCACTTCACCTGTAGTTAGAGGCAACATCCCCTACTCTGTTTCTCTTAGACCTTCCTTTCAAGGGAAAGCATATGTCATATTTATGCACAAGCCAGGATGACAGTCTCCCTTTAGCTTTACATTCTTAATATTTTAGAATGCCCATACCAGCTAATATGCCAGCAGAATCAGTTATGATTAAAATGGAATCTAACCAAGTTCTGTGGCCTAGAGAAGGAGAATCTCTGAGGGTGAGTGCTCATGCTTGCTCAGAACACCTATGAGCTCTTGCTTCTGGTACCCGTACCCCAGGTCTGTAGAAAGCAGCTGAGACTTTGCACTGAGAGGCACTTACCAGCATCGAGGCTGCCAGTTGCTGCTGTCCAGCCCATGACAGGTGGGATAGCCCCAACAACAGCTCCGACCCATGTGTTGGCAATGCTGATCCTCTTCAGGGGTGTATAACAGCAGGTATACAGGAAAATGTTGAAGACGGCCAGGGCTCCTGTGAGTGGATTCACCCCCCAGGTCAGAAGAGCAACTCCTGGAACAGCACAACAAGTGGCAAAGGACACAGCTAGCAATGGGCTGGAAGAGAGAGGATACCAAGGGATCATTTTCAGTTAACTCTATCACATTTTGTAGAATCCAAGCTAAGAACAAATAATCTATGTATCCAATGAAGTATTCCAGGAGGTAGAACTGGTTTAGGGAATCCTCTTTAAGGAACATTAAAGTAAGGGAGGACAGTTTTTGTGGGAGACGTGATTGCCTCTCTTGGTTTGCCAGCTGGGAGCAAAATAGTCAAAAGTCCAGGGGAGAGCACTCTGGGTTTGAGGATAGTTTTGTACCTTCCTGGAGTCGCTCGATTTGTCTCTATAGGAGTCATCATGTCCTCCTGACATGGTTAAAGTAAGAACTACAAGACATGCCTACTTTGCCTGGTGTTCCGGTCTAATGTCAGTGCTAGATATAAATAAGGGACAGCTGGCAACAGGTCAGGTAGAACACAATACTGCATGATTTGGACAAAAAATATTATCAATTCTGGAAACAGTTCTACTCCTTTATACCACATCACCCAATTAGTGATACGGAATAACAATGGCTGACCTCGATGAGGACCATGATTATACTTTTTATAATTAATCAGGGGCCTTAGTATGGTGCCAGTTCCAGAACAACAGTGAATGCCAGGTGACTGTTGCATAGTGCCAATGCCATAACTGGGTTTATGGATAAGGGATTTTTCAGGACGAGGTCACACAATGTTATGTACATAGAAGAAAACCAGCTAAAATTCTACAATGACAATGATTAAGGCCTGCTTCTCAATAGGCACAGTTTTCATAGCAGACTTTGTATGGACTCTTGTGAAAGACTTGAATCTAGATAAACTGAATCTACTAGTTCCTGTTTACATGCACAGGGATTTATTCTTTCTTAAGAAATTAAGGAGGTGCCTCAAGATTACTTTCTCCCTGCAGAAACCACTATTCCACTTCTGAGTAAGAGAAGTTTATGGTGTTCAGTGGTCCAGTGGATTACAGATTCCACTGTGCGCTCCACTGTGTCCCACTCAATTAGATTCCACAGTGTACTCCGGTTTTAACAATGGCCAGTTCCCAGCGGGAGGCAATCTTTACTCCACGTGCAAATGCATGAGACAGTTCCTGCTATTTACAGGGCTCTAGCTTCACTCTAGTTTCCACTTTCTCCCATTTAAGCAGAGGTTGTCTTCTTTGTTTTTAAAGATACACTCTCCACCTTTGCTCTTATTTAATTTCTTCCCTAATCTGTTTTTTATCTTTGATCTATGGACTACTGGCCTCATGCATCCTCAAATAAATTACTTTGTTCATATTTCCCCCAAGGTAAGAGCCTCTAGACCTCACAATCTTCAAAGCCAAGTGTCCTGGATTGGGATACACACATTATCTGTTTCCTCTATCCTGCAACCTCTTATTTGTCCCTTACCTCTATTCTGGAAATAGATTTATCTAAGGTAATGATATGTATCATGTGACCTGGGAACGCCTGGCTTCCTAACTTGTACACAATGTAATTTTCCAGATGAAAGATTAAGAAGATGCCTCTGTGTTGTTATCTCACATATGCCCAGAAAGGAGAATTTAGATGGCTAAAAAGCAGGGCAAATATTTTAACTGCTGTTTGTTCAATAAGGTAGTTTATAGCTTATAAGAACAGATCCCTTCTTTGCCCCGTGGGACTCTAAAAAGCTAGCTTTATTCTAGGTGGGGGAAAACTGTGGCTCATAAACATTTTTATTTTTCCTGAATCAGCCCTTGTGTTTAAAAAAAAAGGTTGTACAATCTTTCTCCAAGGTCTGTGGAAACCAGTTGGATTCAAAGGTATTAGTGTTATGAAAAGCCCTTTTAGAAAAGCACACATGAATTTAATTTATTGAGATAGGCAATTTTATGTGGAAGTTTAATTTTTGACCTGTGTTGAAATCACAGAAAATCTTGAGACTCAATTTTGGAATTTAAATCAATGTGCTCAGGGGCATGAATGAAAATTGAGTAAGTTGATAAGCCACATAAACAAAAATGAAGATATTTACCCAGGACAGCATGGCCATTTTCAGCATCTGGGGGAGGAAAAAAGCCCTGAATCAGGGGGCGTCAGAGCTTTCTTGTAGTTAAAGGGCAAAGATATTCCAACTTGAAAACTGTGAAATTTACTTTCTTGTGATGTTTTACTTTTTCTAAAATTTTATGTTGAAAGTAATGAATATACTTCTAGAACCAGTATCAACAGTGGGTATGGTATTAAAAGCAAAACAAAACAAAACCAAAATTCGCCAATAACACAGTGGAGAAACGTATTATGGGTCTCTAAAATAATCTTTTTAAAGGGGGGCCAGAGATTGAACCTAAAGGTGCTTAATCACTGGGTCATCCCCAGCCCTTTTAAATTTTATTTTGAGGAAGGTTCTCACTAAGCTGCTTAGGGCCTTGCTAAGTTCCTGAGGCTGACCTCAAACTTGTGATCCTCCTGCCTCAGCCTTTTGAGCTGCTGAGATTACAGGTGTGTGCCACCATGCCTGGCTCTAAAATGATCTTTAACAGAGTAAAACAAGTTTCTTGAGATAGTATTACCTTCATTTTATGGATGAGCAAATGTTAGATAAGCAATAGCTATCAAGTGTGGTTCAATACAACAAATGTGTGGAAAAGGGGGAATACCCAACCTAGTGTGTGTACTGGGGGCATGGAAGGGGAACGCTGCTAGGAAGAAGTGACATTTAAACTGAGACATGAAGGATGAACAGGTGGTACATGGGCAAAAAGGGCTAAGAGGAGTGTTCCAGGTAGGGGATGGCATGTTTGAAGGCGAAAGTAAGAAACATGGCAAGTTTGAAAGACAGAAGGAAGTTCCAGGTATCTGGATTGCGGACAGCAGGTGGGAAGTTATCAAGAGGACAGAGAGGTTGAAGATCACAGTGAGGTGTCTACACATAGCTTCTTGGCAGATAAAGAGTCAAGGAGGATTTCTGTGTTTTAAAGAGGTAGAAAAGAATGATTAAGATCTGCTTTTTAGAACTAGGATCACTCTGCTGCCACATGAGGTCAACAAACATAGACAAGCAGATGTTTATTCTCTTTATGAAAGAGGCTCACATTAGGCATTTTGGAGGAAGCAGAATCGTGAACACACTGACATAATTTTTATCAAATGCTTAGTTGGAATGAACAGCCTTCAGATAGCTTTTATGTTTAATCTATCTTGCAGATTTCCCAAAATACACCAATGGAGCAAGTTGGCACAGACAGCAGATCCTCCTCTCACTCAGTGGCTCTTCGGTCTAATGACACCAGGGTGATCATAGTTTGCATTTGCAGCTCTATTATTCTTGGCTCTACTTTATCTTTTCGGGGTCTTTTTAACTATTTTGTTAAGTTTTGTATATTTTTTCAAGTTACCTGAAGTCTTGTATAAAATAAGGCAGAGTAAAAAGTTAAGAAAACGAAGATGTATCTATAGGATTTTGATTAGAATCTTTGTATACCATGAAAATATACTAGTGAAAGAAAAGAGAGCTCTAGGAAACCGTAGGTAGGAAGAGGACAAACAAAAGTAAAGGCTAGAGACAGAAAACAGACCTAGCAGTATCTGGATTATATTTTGAAGTTTGGTTCGTCATGAAATCTTTAAATATGGTAATACTGAAGTTGTTGAAGTCCACCAATTTTAGTAAAGAGATCTATTTTGAGATAGAAGATTAGAAAAGAGTCCAATCCTCATCCCTTAAACACTAACTATGATGTTTTACTATTAAAATGTGATCAGAACTAAATCTCAAAGACCTAAGGAGCAAATCTGTGAATGACTGGTTTGTTATTATTTCAGGCCAATTATTCCATATACTCATTCTCCTAATCATATTGTTCAATGCTTAATCAGAAATCCCATCTGCCTTTTCCACTCTTAGATGTGCTTTGGAAGTATCCCAAACCTAGAGACACATACAGCTATTTCTCCTTTTATCATTTATTCTTCATTTTTTTTTTTTCATTAGTCTTTTTGAACCTTCTATCCTTTGAATTCCTTAGCAGCTTGCTTTCATTTTGAGGGCTACATTGTTATCTGGCTTTCAAAGGGAAAAAGGGGAGGAGAAAGTCTAAGGGCTCAGAGTCACTCTAAGGGAGAGGCCTCAGTGGAACTTCTGGGTAGATGCTCCACTCCTTCACTCCTTCACACCTCCACACAGTGGTTCTACCTAAGTATAGTTTCTGTTTTTTTTTTTTGGGGGGGTATGTGTGTGTGGTGCTGGGGATTGAACCCAGGGCCTTGTGCATGGAAGGCAAGCACTCTACCAACTAAGCTATATCCTCAGCCCCGAAGTATGGTTTCTGGACCAGCAGTATCAGCATTACCTGGGAATTTGTTAGGAATTCAGGTGATCCAGAGGCTTGTTGAAGTCTGAGAAGCTACACCATTATAATGTGATGCTTGTCACCATCTGGCCAAGCCACATGTGCTAAGCCTACAGAAGCCACTCTACTCCAGTACTGACTGTGTAAGGTAAGTCACACACTTTCAGTTGTCTTTCGGTATATATCTTGACATGTGCCAGTGGAAAGAACCCAGGGCTGCCAATCAATTTTGTTTTCAAATTGCAGAGGTACTGTGGCAATATCCCTCAACTCCTCTGTACCATCTGGATTTAACTTAGTCATACAGCCACAAGGGTTTAGACCATAAGCAGTACTTTAATGGTGAGCTGAAGCAAGTGTGGTGCAAGTGCTGATGACTTGATTCTAGGCCACAGATAGACTGAAGCTCGTTGTACTTCTTCTACTATTGAATCTATTGGAATATTTTCATAGGAAAGTGTTTTAAAAATGCTTTATTATTATTATCAGTCAGGTGGTCTGAGTTCTATTTCTGACTATGATGTTGACTAGCTAGGTAAAAAGGGGCAACATATTTAACCTCTCTGGTCTTTAGTTTTCAACTATAAAAGTAAGAGGCGTTTTCAGTGACCAAGACTGGAACTCAAGTCAAACTTGCTTTAGGTAAAAAAGACTCAATAACAAGACCATAGAAAAGGCAGAGATTAT